ATTTTAATACAAAGGTACCGGTTGTAATCATTACGTAATTCAGCTTTTGCTGCAAAGTAATTTGAATAAACCTCTATTCTTTCTATTCTATTATTCTATTCTATTCTATTCTATTCTATTCTATTCTATTCTATTCTATTCTATTCTATTCTATTCTATTCTATTCTATTCTATTCTATTCTATTCTATTCTATTCTATTCTATTCTATTCTATTCATTCTATTCTATTCTATTCTATTCTATTCTATTCTATTCTATTCTATTCTATTCTCTATTCTATTCTATTCTATTCTATTCTATTCTATTCTATTCTATTCTATTCTATTCTATCTATTCTATTCTATTCTATTCTATTCTATTCTATTCTATTCTATTATTCTATTCTATTCTATTCCATTCTATTCCATTCTATTCCATTTTATTCCATTCTATTCCATTCTATTCCATTCTATTCCATTCTATTCCATTCTATTCCATTCTATTCCATTCTATTCCATTCTATTCCATTCTATTCCATTCTATTCCATTCTATTCCATTCTATTCCATTCTATTCCATTCTATTCCATTCTATTCCATTCTATTCCATTCTATTCCATTCTATTCCATTCTATTCCATTCTATTCCATTCTATTCCATTCTATTCCATTCTATTCCATTCTATTCCATTCTATTCCATTCTATTCCATTCTATTCCATTCTATTCCATTCTATTCCATTCTATTCCATTCTATTCCATTCTATTCCATTCTATTCCATTCTATTCCATTCTATTCCATTTCCATTCTATTCCATTCTATTCCATTCTATTCCATTCTATTCCATTCTATTCCATTCTATTCCATTCTATTCCATTCTATTCCATTCTATTCCATTCTATTCCATTCTATTCCATTCTTTATTCCATTCTATTCCATTCTATTCCATTCTATTCCATTCTATTCCATTCTATTCCATTCTATTCCATTCTATTCCATTCTATTCCATTCTATTCCATTCTATTCCATTCTATTCCATTCTATTCCATTCTATTCCATTCTATTCCATTCTATTCCATTCTATTCCATTCTATTCCATTCTATTCCATTCTATTCCATTCTATTCCATTCTATTCCATTCTATTCCATTCTATTCCATTCTATTCCATTCTATTCCATTCTATTCCATTCTATTCCATTCTATTCCATTCTATTCCATTCTATTCCATTCTATTCCATTCTATTCCATTCTATTCCATTCTATTCCATTCTATTCCATTCTATTCCATTCTATTCCATTCTATTCCATTCTATTCCATTCTATTCCATTCTATTCCATTCTATTCCATTCTATTCCATTCTATTCCATTCTATTCCATTCTATTCCATTCTATTCCATTCTATTCCATTCTATTCCATTCTATTCCATTCTATTCCATTCTATTCCATTCTATTCCATTCTATTCCATTCTATTCCATTCTATTCCATTCTATTTCCATTCTATTCCATTCTATTCCATTCTATTCCATTCTATTCCATTCTATTCCATTCTATTCCATTCTATTCCATTCTATTCCATTCTATTCCATTCTATTCCATTCTATTCCATTCTTTCCATTCTATTCCATTCTATTCCATTCTATTCCATTCTATTCCATTCTATTCCATTCTATTCCATTCTATTCCATTCTATTCCATTCTATTCCATTCTATTCCATTCTATTCCATTCTATTCCATTCTATTCCATTCTATTCCATTCTATTCCATTCTATTCCATTCTATTCCATTCTATTCCATTCTATTCCATTCTATTCCATTCTATTCCATTCTATTCCATTCTATTCCATTCTATTCCATTCTATTCCATTCTATTCCATTCTATTCCATTCTATTCCATTCTATTCCATTCTATTCCATTCTATTCCATTCTATTCCATTCTATTCCATTCTATTCCATTCTATTCCATTCTATTCCATTCTATTCCATTCTATTCCATTCTATTCCATTCTATTCCATTCTATTCCATTCTATTCCATTCTATTCCATTCTATTCCATTCTATTCCATTCTATTCCATTCTATTCTTCTATTCCATTCTATTCCTTCTATTCCATTCTATTCCATTCTATTCCATTCTATTCCATTCTATTCCATTCTATTCCATTCTATTCCATTCTATTCCATTCTATTCCATTCTATTTCATTCTATTCCATTCTATTCCATTCTATTCCATTCTATTCTATTCTATTTATTCTATTCTATTTCTATTCTATTCTATTCTATTATTCTATTCTATTCTATTCTATTCTATTCTATTCTATTCTATTCTATTCTATTCTATTCTATTCTATTCTATTCTATTCTATTCTATTCTATTCTATTCTATTCTATTCTATTCTATTCTATTCTATTCTATTCTATTCTAACTGTTACCTTTGCTAAGATGTTGGTTTCTGATTCTTTCAACCATTTTCTTATTCTGTATACTGCATGTATATCTCGGTTCCGTTTTTGAATTCATTTGTTATTTTAGTCGCCAATCAGTGCATTTATTAGGTATACGCATTATTTAATGTATATTTGGATGAGCATGTGATATATATCATATTCCTTCGATATGACGAGGAAAATAGTGGTAGAAATAATTCGTTATTTACATAATTTAATTTATATAGGTTGACGGGAGTTCTATCAGCTTATTCAGAGAAGCGAAAATCGGGTATGACTAAGATTAAGATTTATTAAAAGTACCAATTTCGCAGTTAAAGACTGAATTACATGGGTTAAAAAAATTATAATGTTATTCTACAATAAAATATAGTTACAATTGGATGATAAGAATAGCGTATCCACTGCTACAATTATTAAAAACTCTACTTCCAGCAATTACAAAACTGTTGGCAAATTTATCAGTTCTACGCTTAGGGATTAAGAGTTTATCACTATACTCCGAAGAGAGTCAGATGTACTATAATTTGGTGGAACAATGGAGTGCAATTTGTGTGTTGAATCGATACACATGCATTCGTTCAACGAATCTCTTACAAATCTTCTCTCTTCGTATAAGAAGCATTGTCACCCAAGCACCGTCCATTGCTTTATCACAGGAGCAATCTGGGTAGATTATTCGGAAGACTCGACGTTGGATCTTTTCAATTTAGTCGTTTAGGTATTGAGGCAAACTATAATGCCATACTTCGCACGAGTACTCCAACTCCAATATCGGTCTGACGCACGATGACTTGCACTAACTTTTTCGATGCAATTTTAGATCGTTTTAATAATCGTAGATTATACAAACGTTTCGCAGGCTTTTTGTAGACGCAGTCGACATGAGGAGCCCACTCGAGATTGTTAGAAATGATTAAATCGAGTAATTCAATCTCCGATACAATGGAGATATTGCAACCATCAATGGTAAGCGGAGTGAGGGTTGCGGGATCTTTTGTCGAAAGGCATATATGCAAACTTTCTTAGTTTTAGTGCAAAGAAGCTCAAAGGGCCAAGTTGGCAATCCAATTGATAAGGACAGGACGAATGTCCATATTTCGTAGCTTTTGTAAAAGAATGTTGAAATCAATACGAACGAATGCTTTTCAAAAGTTTAATGTACAAAATAATTCGAAGGCAAGTGCCAGGTGTATCCATGGCTTTGTAGCACTTCTGAAGCATATATACTAACGCCATCGTGGAATTGGTTCTTTTGAGCGCACCAAATTGAAGCTCATCAATTAGGCTAGTAACTGACCGTAAAAGCCAGTTATAAGAAAATGACTCCAAGACTTTACCTACAGTGGATGTAAGTGGGATCAGTCTAAAATCGGATTCGATGTCGGGCTGACTAGGGCGGTATAGCCTATAGTCATTGGGTTTGGTCTCTTGCTAATTGAATCATGGCAGCACAGCTTTATGGCAAAGGTCTATACTTTATGTAGCTTCTGTAAAATCAGCAGTAATGCACCTTTACAAATCTATGGAAATTTATTACTGAACTAATAATCCTAAATAATTATCAATCGTCATCAACAATGTGCCAGCGTGTCAAACATAAAATCCTCGATAAATATTTATGTGCAATATAAATTAGACCAAACGCCCACATTAAAGAAAGCTTGTTTTGAGTTAAAATTAATCATAAGATTTGTTTCAAAATTGTTATTCACGGAATGTACGGCTTCAATGAACATGCAAATTATTTAACTCCAAGAACATATTAGTTTAGCGACAGCGAAGATTACGTGGTCGATTTCCGTGACTCTTAACAACCTTCTCGTCGAATATTAAACCCCATGCATCCATGATCATGCTGTGTTACTTTTGAGCAAAGCTTTCCAAGATATCATATTTAGAAACAAGGTATGTATGTAAATTTTCGAGTGCGGTATTTTTTTCCCACGCAATATGTGAATTCTAAGTCACGCGAACGTTATGGGTATGCAATGTTTGGTAGCTTTATTTCGATCAAACTGGCAATGTGTTCAATCTCTGCCTAACAATGTGCCTCACAATCGCTCACTAAATAAATGTACTGCAGTAAAGGCGCTCGAGAGTGATTACCTGTTGTTTAGACTACATATTAATTAAACTTTAAGAAATAAGTCAACTCAATTCGAGTGTACGCAAATTAAAAAGAAAAGCGAATGCAAAAATTTACCAAAGCGATAGAAATGGTTGATACAGGTAATGATGCATGGTTTAAAAATCAATGTTTTACAATTTTCTCCCTGACTAAAAATTTAAATGAGCTAAAAAGCTAAAAGCTCTCGTCTTATGCAAATATTAATATGCTGTTATAGTTAGGAATTACGCAGTGGGGAATCGGCGTCATTCTTAGGGGTTTTTCCCTGCAAATTCTTGTATTATCACACTTTTTATGTTTTAATTTGATCTTCATTAATTTTTAGGATCACTAGATCATTTAAACTCCAAAACGGGTTCCAGGCCTGCATCGGAAAGCGTGATGATCTCGGAAAAGACTGGAAATCTATCTATTCTTATTTGTCTGCTGACTGTGTAATTTCGTGTTTGGCACTCCTCTAAATCAAGGTAAATAAAGAGGAATTTATAGGCCATATAAAACTTTTCCCGAAAGTTTAAAAGTCCGTAAGAGTATATTTTATTGAATTTAAAGTGCCTATATCACTCGTGGAATCTTTATGCATTTGAGAAGAATGTAAAAAGTTAGTTAATATATTAAAAAAGTTTTTTCATTTAGTGCAATAATTTTCAAGATACTAGCCTTTAAACTACCTGCAGTTCCTGAGTCCCAGGCTCCTGTAAACAATGAGCAGTTTCAAATTAAATAGCCGTGTTTAAACCCAGGAGGTTGGGACTCAGGAACCGCAGGTAGTTTAGAGGCTTGTATCTTCGAAATTATTGCACTAAACTAACTAACTTTTTACGTTCTTCTCAAATAAAGATCCCACGAGTGATATAAGCACTTTAAACATAACACAGCCAAGTGGTAACGATAAGCAATCATTGCCAGAAATCGTGGACATTTTGCTCCCGCGTAATACGGTCAGCGGGTATCCACTGTAATTATTCAAACGCATGTAAAATGGCTGCTCGAAATATTAAAAAGAGAGTTCCATATAAAGTTTTGGCTAATATAAGCACATTGGACCACGAATTTTATAAAAGAAAGCCGAAAAAAAAGTATTAAGTATTCTTCAAAAACCCTTGGCATTTTTGAAGCTGGACGATTGGTAACCTGCCGTAGGTCCCCTGAGGTAAGCTATACAGGTTATTGTCAGGTTATTGAATCCTCACTAGAAATTGTCCATAATTTACGACGTTTTGGAAGTACTTTAACTGTATATTGTCGTAAGTTTTAAAAACAATTTGAAAGCATCGAAATATGGAGTTTTCGAAACGAGTTAGAGCTAGCCCTCTCCATCAATGGTTTCTGGACAAATCAACAAGAATTTGGCATGGTTTGCGCTATATTGTATGGAAAAGTATGGCTATTACTACATTATATATAGGCCAAAATAAATGCTGCTGTGGAAGTAAGTAGACAGATTTATTTTAAACAAATTTTGGGTCAGAAACAAAGTAATATCCATACTAAATAGGTATCGAGTTTGAGCTAAGGTTTTACTTCTTCGTAATTTTTGTAATTCAAATTTTTTTGCAATCCTAATACATTTTAATAGACTTTTCTGCCGCCATTAATTACGTCATTCTTAATCATGGCAGCCATTTTGACCCATATTTCTGGCAATGCGCATCATTGTAATTTTAAGAACACTGAAGTAGACTGGAACGATAACTCAGCCGTCCTCTTTAAAGGCAAATTGAAGGCCATTATGCATGCAACGTCTGAAAGCGAAAATACACCGCCTTATTAAACATCCATAAAATAAACATCTAAAATTTAAGTGCATGTCTAAAATTTAAGTGCAAGTTCCAGGATCCTAGAAGAATGTTTGCCTTACTTTTTTGGGGAGCTTAACTTCTTCTTCGGCAATTGCAACATGCTGCATGGATAGTATAAATTTCAAGTAACTTCTAGGTTCTTGTTGCTGTAGTAATTTTATGTGAATTCTAGGCAATTAAACAAAGGATAGTCAAGCACTGAAACTGATTGAAACTCCGTTGCCTTTGTTTAGGTCTGCTGGAGTACGCTATGATGAGAACCATTTCGAATACCACCGGTAATTTATCCGTATTTTTTTGACAAAGAAAATATTAACAGGAGAAACAACCATCGCACTCCAATTATGTCACACCACGAAAGATTAAGACGTACAACATTTGGAAGTATTCGTGCTTACGTATGTCAATTTGCCTTTGTTTAGGTTCACTTAAGTCCCTGGCGGAGAGAAGCATTACGAATACCACAGGTAATTTATATACCAGGCCTTAGTTGTATTTTATACTTCGAAATAACCTTTGAACAATCAACTATTTTTCTACAAAACCATGACGTAAAAAACATACTAAACTCAATACGTATATTAATTGAAAATATTTCCACTAACAGCTAACGGTATGTTGTTTTTACCACTTAAGGAAACGAGAAGCGAGTGAGGGGATTATCCATGCTGGATTTCGTTGGTATTGCCATCACAGGAGTCTCCGTTTCCACCATAATCGCACTTTTTTGTTGTACTAAAATCAAATTCTGGTTGAGAAAGATGTAATAAACCTCGCAACCAAGAGAATGGCGATTTGAAAGCACTTTTTCCTGAAATGCGAAAGTATACATGTTTTCTCACTTTTGATGCTACAAATTCAATTCACAAATCTCCGCGGAAGCATATACCGCATTACACCACTTGCTTGTCGAATGTCTCCTAGGTATTGCCCGCAATTAGATTTTCCGAAACAATTTTCGTCTAGCTTCTCTGTGCAAGCAGGGGCGGCGGAAAATACTTTGCATTTAGAGATGCGGAATAGCATATACAAAGTAAAAACATTGCTAGTGTGGTTCTTACTTTGTAAAAATATTTTCAATAAATGTTAGTCTGGGCTGGGAAGGATTAGGGATAGAGGTAGGGGTAAGTTCCCACTTCTGGGGGTTACCCGAACACCTCCCTCTATTCCGCCGTCTATTCTAGTGTTAGGTATACAGTACTCTACAGAGATAACCTAACAAATCGGATTCATGTTTACAAAATCATATAATTGGAAATCATTTACTCAGAGTAGAATATTCGATTTTGAATAAACAACTTACCATATGATGGCATAATAATTCTCTCTGAGTAAAATTATGTACATAAATCCACCACTAAAAGTTTATCACCATATTTGTTGAGAAAACTTAATCAAGGGCATGCATTGGTTATTTTCTCCTGAACACCACGGTTTGCTTTGCTATATAAATTATATGAAGGACGTGCCTGAACAGACAATTTTTGTTCTTTGTGGTATGGTCTAATCTTTTTAGACATCAAGCAGTGCTGTAAGTTTTTTAAGAGAACTTAAATCGCGGTGAAATCACAGATGAGTGTTATGTGGCTTGTTCCGCAAACCCAAGTGCATGGCGCACAGTGTTATGTATATAATTTTATACACCTTTATATGTGTGTGTCGAACGCTGAAATGAAAATTAAAGTAATCCAAGTATTCTCACGCTTGTATACTTCAATTTGACAATAAATGATTACTCTGCCATGTAATTATGCACCTAAACCTTGTATACAACATTTCAAAGCAAATTAATCATAGTTGCTGGGTTGCATGTTATGATCTCAACATAACAGTCACGAAATCGGTGAGTATAGGTGTTGTTATTGTAATATATTGTGTGGTAACTTTACATTACACTTTAGTTAACGTTACATATTATACGGCAAAACGGGAAAACAAATTGTAAAACGCAGTAGGTGGTATTTAATACCACTAGTAAATGATTCTCGTAAATGCGCGTAATATAAATTCGATGTTAACTGTATGATTTCGAATTCGAGTTGGAAAGCCAGTAGACAGCAATCAGTATGCTACACGGGTTTTACTCATTTATGAAGACTGAGACATTCAGCTGAGACAACATTTTTAAAATCAATTTACCACGACATTCACAATGGCGTATACGTATGCCAAAATTCTAGTTTCAGAATACATGTAATTGCTCGCTTCTGTATTGCATTAAATTAAACGTCGTCTGGTACTGTCTACACATGGAATAGTGCTGATTTGTCAGAGGCTGATGTTCTCATTTCAGTCGTTTGTAACACGCATATTTTATCGACGTCCGGGAACACTTCCGCTTTTTAAAATGTTGTAAATTACGTATATTCCCTTAGCTAATATGTTCTGCCTTATGCAGCTACCACTGATATTATTCGTAAGTTTTGCCGCTTATGTGTTTAATACTTCGTATCATGCAATATTATACTTCCTATCATCCAATATTGACCTAACAAAATGGTTAATCTACGGCAAGCTTAATTCGCTTTAAATTGAAAAGTTATGAAAATACCCGAAACTTGTTGTAGTAGTGTTTGCAAAATCGCTACAACAAAATCATAACGAATTACGGTCATTCAAAACCAAATTGAGAAAGTTTAAACGTTCTTTCAATTGGTTTCACTATTAATTCCTCGAATAGCGAAAAATTATCCTAACTATGAGTTAAGCTTATCTACGATATGTTAATTTTTTATTGTTCTATTCAAAGCTATTAATAGATGAAGTATATAAGACCTAAATCCGCATTCTAGAAGTTTACAAACCCTCAAACTCCCTGTATGTCAGGACGTACAAACCGAGGATAAGTACTGGATCACGTACTCCTCAGTGGCGGATTTAGGATAAGTCAGAATGCATTACAGCGTCTAATTTCCAATTCAAACTGACCTCAATAACAACGCTCTTGGCTATTAATTTCCATAGAATATTTATCTATAAAAATCTATCAATACGATTGCAAGTTTGAGCTGTAGTAATTTGTTCTGACTTACCACGTCGTCCAGCTTTCAAAGTGACGAGAAAAAAGTGTCCTTTTTGCCTGGCTAACATTACATGTGTGTTTTTCTCAAAGATATCAGCTTATCTGAGTATTGCACGAATAATGTAAGATAAAAAAGCGCTAGTTCCTAGATCTATCTCTCTTCTTGTGAGCGTCCAAATAAATTACAATGAACAACGAGTGGGATGGGATTAGAGTATTGGCTGTGCACTATGTCTTTTTATGGCATGCAATTATTACGGCTAGTAGGCTTGGCAGCAAGGTATTGTTCTTTTCATAGTTGGTAAATGATATTAAGGATCAGTCAGTATAGGAACACCGCGCCAACATGTGTGCTTGTCTCCACAAAGCTTTCGGTCGTGGACTTTATCAGTGCAACACACCTTTAATGGTTGAAGGAACGAATTAATTAATCAGCAATTAATTAATTAATTATATAATTGTGTGATATAGTAATAAAGGCTGGCGTCAACTGACCGAAAAAGTTTTTGTTTATTAGGTTAGGTATGTACGTAAAGCTATTACCAAAGATCTCTTACTCTTCACATTCTTGCCTAAAATGTTTGAACAGTTTGGAATTTTCCTTGGTCTTGGTGCCATAATAGAACGCTTCATTCTCTTTCTTAGACTGGATTTCTATACGCTGAGAAGTTAGATAATTGTAATTCCAATACATTTCCAAGACAAAAAAACACACTTTAAAAATCATTCGAACTACGTAGTCTGATTGGACGAACTATAGCTTGGCTGAATAGATGGATCTGAGCATAAACGTCCGCGAAAACTTGTTGCTATTACAGTGCTTCTTTCTGGCATTGTCAGTTTGTAATGCTGGTGAGTAATCAAGTACTGAAAATCAAATGCCCTTTATCTATGCCGTAGAATATTTATACCGTAGACTCTAAAAGCTTTGATTTTCAAGCGACATTTACATTAAAATTCAAATTATCTTTGTTTTAAAAGCCCTATCATTATAGTCAACTATCCCGTGGATGAACAAGCTTATTATACAAAAATGCATCATTTTCTAGCTAAAAGGAAACTTAATTACCGAACGAATTGAAGTTAATAAGTTCACGGCAACCAGGTATATAATTCATCGCAATTATCGCTACTCAGATTAATTATAATGAAAGTAATCACCCCAGAAGTAGACACAGGACCGGAGTGTCGAAACATTCGGTCGTGAATGTAATCTTTGTGTGTTGATTACTTTAATTAATTAAACCAGAGTTGCGCGATAGTTGCGATAGAAACTTACCTGTTTATGACATTTCAAAACTTGTAGATTTTCACTCTCCACTCGTTCAAATTTTGCGCTTGCGCATAACTTACCATTAAATCTCCATGTCATGGAATTTTGATCGACTTTGGAATCCGCTTTTTTCTATCACAATACCCAGGTGTAATTCCTAATATACCCGGAATTAGTACCCTCGCACGGCGCTCCCTCTGGCTATAAGGGATAAAAAATTAAGCTCATTTTCTATTCTTGCCTCATGTTGAATTAGAAAATTGTGATGGAACTGTAGTAAGTGAGAAGTTCACGGGAGCACAGCCCAAATATATCCAGGTTATGCCCGGAAATCAAGCAATCCTCAACTGGACTTGGTGCGTCGCGGAGAACAGCTCGATCACAGGCATCATCGTTTACAGGGTGATTCACGTTGACTCACAAATCACGAACCATGCTTTACTCTCAATGGGCCAATCAAAGAAAGTTTATCAGTATGTCAAAGACAATTCACGCCACGAACTCAGTGCTGGATAGATTTTCAAGAGAAACAGTTTTTGTTATCAACAACGTGAGCAAAGCAGATGGTGGTGAATACAGTTTACATGTTCGAAGACTGGGATACTCCGATCTCCATAATGAAATCACCCTAGTTGTCACCAGTGGTGGTGGGTATACTTCAATTTATTAGCATAGATCTAATTGTAATTATGCTATGTTTTTAATGTGAAAATTTCACCTCTGAAACAAATAAAGGGGCTCTAAATTTGATAATTTTGGAAATGAAGTAATATTGATATAATATTTTGGGACTATTTGGTCCAGGCTTATGCCAAAACAAGAGATTCGGCCAGACCAAGAAAATTCTCTTCATGGCACTACAAATCAGGCGCAGTCTAGCTTAAACGAACGTCAGTGGATTTAAAGTACTATAATGCACTATAGTGCATTAGTATAGTACTATAATGTACTTATTCTTGCTCTAAAAGCTTGGCTCATGTTCAACTAGTTTACTGGGGAACCAGGCTCCTACAACATTCTAATCGGATCATCCCGTAATGCATACCTCGAAATAATAACAATTTACTTAAATCCTATTTTAATGTACCGGGGTTTTTTTTAAGTTGATATGACCGGGGGTGTGCTGATAGGGCGCACCCCTCAGAAATTCTGTCGAAATTATCTTTTTAGTTATATTTTTAGGACGTTTTATCACTATTTAACCTAAAAATAACAAAAAAGTTGAATTCACATCCAAGATGCTGCATTTTGGCCCCATTCGATACGACCACCAATCGAAAAATGGCAAAAATCGATAAATATTCTATGATCTTGGTTCTTTTCTATGAAGAGACAAAAACATTTTGGATGTGTTATTTTTTGTTTTTTTAGATTCAAAAGACATAGTTTAATTTTATGGCATACCTCTGATGTCCATAAATACAACTTCTCAGCCTCGACACCTTGTTTGACAAATGTCGTCAAACGCCCGGAAAACTTTAAACTTTCAAAAAAAAATTTTTCACAGTTGTGATGGTAGAGGAAGCGAATGGAATCACTTGTTTAGGAATGACGAACAAATATTTATACCCTCGATATGTAAATGGGGTTAACTTAACACGAGTTATTTAGTTATACTGGATTTGCCACCCGCAGTCAGACAAGATCGAAAATTGATGCACTCAGCTCAATTTCTCGACTCCCAGACTATCGTGATATGAAATTCTTTTCTTTTATAATCCTCTCATTCCTCTGTTATTTATGTCTATATCCATTGACGAAGAATTGTGATCAATCTTGTTTGAAATTTACAGGTATCACGAAAGTCCTTATGGCTCCATCAAGGAAGCAAATAACAAAGTGGATGTCCAGGAATAATTCAACGGATTTTCAGCCTAGTCAACGAAGGCCTAAAACAGGAAATGGACATTTGAATGCTTATGTTTTTTCGAGTGTTGTTGCGTTTTGTTTTTTAATAATGCTAGTGGTCGTTCCTATCGTGTATTGCAAATGGAAGAGGCGTGGACATCAAGCAATTTGTCTTCGATCCAGGAAAAGGTGTTTAAAAAGTACTTCCAAGTCTTCTGGTCAAGACTATTATACATTAGTCTGACCAAATCCAGTGCAGTGTTTGTCATGGTCTGCATGGTACTAACAACCTAATTGCCAATAATTCCATAGATTCTCATGCGTAGATGCGTATAGTTATTTTTTGTGTCTTGTTGTGATTTGATTTGTATTTTTTGTTTGAATTGTTTTTTTAATTTGCTGAATTCCTAAGAAGAGTTCAGTACTACTTTAATATTTGATTCGAAATTACAATGTAAGTATTTCGTACTGGCAGTACGGCCAGTACATCAACTGGCATTACGGCCAGCAGAACGAACAGTTCAACACTCCGGACCCCGTTCCATACATACAGTATATAGCCAGGTCTCTTCCAAAAAAAATAAGTACGCAGGAACAAAATACTAGCTAAAATTACACAAATTCAGAACAAAGCAACAAAATGAAGTATATTATTTTGTGAAAAGTTCGTTTAAATCGTAGACTTAATCGTAAACGTTATGGCCAAGGAAAAAGGAATGCTGTGCATATATTTTCTTCTACTGTCATATTTCATTGCCGTGTTTGCAAGATAGGCTAGGCAGGTCAATTACATAGGTGCACATTTAAATGTATATAATTTATATGGATTATAGTATATAATGATTGTTTTCATATAAATTTAATAACGATATTTTGTTTTAAAACTTACGATTCATGGAATGCGTGTGCCTTCCAAGATCATGGAAGTAGCAGGTCTAATATTGATTAAGTTTCAAATGTATGATTGTCAGGCAATTCTCCATCTGGTCAGTTGATAAACAACCTTGCGCGCAGCAGCTGATTGATAAAGAATAAAAAATGAATCACTATAAAGCGTAAGTATTTCATAGTAAGTATTTCACCCAGCGAAAAAAATCCTTTTCACACACTGGGTCTGCGCCATGAATGCATATGGTACATACATACTCGACTGTATAATGCTATAAATTGGGCTTGCTAAAGATTTTCTTATGCACAGAAACTATCTACTAGAATATTTGTGTTATTCAATTGTCATCATGTTTCTACTGTCTTTATAGCTACATGAATGTACATGCAAATTAAGACATCGTTTGTGGTCGTCACGGAGTGATAAACATTTAGGTCGACGCATTGATGATCGGAGAAGAAACAACTGGTAAAATAATTCAGAGATAGATATAGATATTGCAACGAACGATCACAAGAAAACGATGAAACCAGCTTTTAAGAATACCCTATGATTTAGGCTAAAATTTATTAGTCGTGGAATGTATGGGTTGAGTGGATATATGCAAATGCTAGCTGCTATTGTAAAAGCAAAATGCACTGTCACCATTTTCTCGATTTCTGCTAAACAATATCCTCACATTATACTAAACAAACTGGATCGGTTGATTTCTTTCACGATCTAAAAATGTGATTATGGCTATTATATGAAACGAAATCAGTGGTAAAAACGACAATCTCGCTGGGTATGTATAAATAACATGAATAACATTAAATAACCAGACAAGTATAGACATGTTGTTGCATGTCAATAACAAATTATATATTTCATATTTCGATATTTCATTTCAACTTTAGTTTTGAAGTGAATAAAAAAAATTGGTTTTACAATGAGAATCGTGATATTAGTTTGATCATCTGTATAATAAGAAATTTGCAAGAATTTTAAATAATAATTATGATTTATAATAGAGATATCGTTTCAATGTTTACATTTTTGCATTCGTCAAGCGGTAAAAAAATGCGAGCACTTCATGTGTATATAATTTATATATATTTGGAGGAATCATCATAAATTAAAGTATTGCTTACCAAAAATCATTCACTACAGTGCTATCATTCCCATTTGGATGAAACTGACTGTAGTGGATGATTTTTGGTGATCAATTTATATACTTTTATATCTGCTGTATCTATATGGGGTCTATTATATGGCATAGAACTGAAGCTTTTCTTTAAGCACGGCATGCACGGAAAGCTTTTCTGGAATCCTTGCCTTGACGTGATTTCGGTATTGTTGGTCCATGCGAAAAATATTAGAAGCAAGTATTACAAAGGTTTTTTAACAGGTATATAGATCCAACAGATGTTGTGAAATCACTCACAACCTCCTATATACATTCGGTACAAAAATAGTCATAAAAGTGTAAACATTGCTCGCCCTTGTGCTGCAAGATAAGATGTCATTATAAGCAGGCAGTACTAATTAGGCTCTTGCAGCCTAACTAGCTACATGTTTGATATTAAAGCTTCAAGTTCAAAGCATCAAAACAGTAGAGTTTATTGAGCAATTACAGTTGACTCTAAATAAAATTTCGCATCGACGTTTGCTCCATCGAAATTTCAAAAATCACTTTCTGAAATTTGGTGTTATAGCTTTTGCAGTTTGTTATGTCTGTGCAAATTGACCTAGCTAGCAAGCTCAAGTAAACTGGAAGCAAATGCGAAATAAACAAAGTAAACAAATGCCTTCTTAAAGCACTCAATTATAAGCTTACGATTATGAATTATTTCTCTTTGATAGAGATTAGATCTCTTTAGACTTTACGATTATTATGAATTATTTCTCTTTCACCATGCTCTTATTTTTGAACTGCATATATCCATTTAATAGGGAAGAATGATGCTAGTTATCAAACTTGTAAGCCTACTGACAATGATTATTCAAATTCTTGGAATTCCAAATCAAGGTAAATTATGCAAATAGGACGACAATTGCGTGCTGCCCGTTCCGCCAGTTTGCGCGAACGAAGTTGATAAATTTCGTTGGGTTGTGATATTCATGCATTTATTTATATAAAAAATATTGCATTTATTTAGGAACAATACTTATTAATTTATGTAGTCTTTTCGCCGTTGCAACTTTTAATGCCCCAAAGGCTTAGTGGTTCAGTGCCCAAGTTGTATCACATGACATGACGATATTAATTTTTCAAAATCGTTTTAGTTAAACTGTTTTAGTTCGCTATACAAGGATTTTTTGTAAAAGATTTTCGATTATTGCGTTGTTCTTTTCTCGCAGTGATTAGTTTTAAGAAATATGCCTAAACGCGGTTTGCTTAATTAAGAGTGGAAACCCGATATTCTTTGCAGTTACTAACGAAAGCAAGCAGTAAAAGTCATTGAAGAGCGATAGCAACAAAATTTTTATTCTTGAATTCGAAAGAGCATATTAAATTATCACCAAAATCTTGGAATATAATATTCATATTGTTGCTCCTATTATGAAAAAGTCCTTGTAATATTTTCGCTAAAAGCAACAGCTTGTTACAAACAGTGATCTCAAATAAGACTTGAACGCTAGCTCCGCCAGAAGTTTGAAGCCGTGATGGTGGAAATTGGAGCCTTTTTTGTAGGCATGATCCAGTTCCCCGGCGCGGAAATTATGAATGAATATTTAAAGCTCGTCTTCCAATAAGTTTACACACATGCCTAGATAACAGTAACCCAAAAAAATAGCATGTATTCTATACGAATACACTTAACGGAACAGAAAATCAAACATCTTGCCCGACGAAACCAAAAATAAAACGACATTTGTTATTTGTTTGAATTTTGTTCAAATACATCGGTTTAAAATCATCGCAAATTCCGTGGAGTGCGCATTCTTTTCATGAAATATCCTCTCTTGTTTGAAAAGAGCGTAAAAAGCTGGTATAATCCCGGCAAAAAATTCCTTCCATGGCTTCACCCCTTCGTGAGCATGCGTCCTTTGATATAAGACAATTAACTAGAAGTACATGCATGCAGCAACCCCTCGCCATTTCAAACGAAACAAAATATTTCCTGAGCTAGCCAGACCTAACCTTCAATATTATGAAATGTCCTAAATGTAAAGCCGGTAGCTGATGTTTCAAATTTTTCGGAAACAAATACAGCCGTAAAGGTGAAGTAAAATCAAGTTATAGACTTTCACAGTTTAAGTGAGAGTTAATACTCCATTATATAGCTAAACCCTCAAAACATCAAAACAGCCCCAAAAATATAAATAACCAAGCAGTGAACGTCGAATGTTGTTTTCGATTATTAAATTCATGCAGTGATTGCAGTCGACTATATATAAACTTTTAAAGTGATATTTGTTATATTAAAACTCCGAATTACACTTTTAAGGACTCTTTTGGAAGTTAAAACGATGATGTAAAGCCTTAAATAGTCGGTCTCGTCTTCGCAAAACCGAGCAAAACGACACACTGTACCAAGCTCATAAAATGTATTCGTACAGCAAACACGAAAAAAACCTCGAAAAAAACAAAATACTCCTACCATTTCAAGGATTATAAACCAGTTGTTCCTTTTCACCCGGCGCTAATTCTTCCAGTTCTGATAATATTTTAAACTTTTCCCAGTGTTTTATATGTTATTTGATTCCACATTTCATATAGTGTTTTCGAAACATTTTTTTAAAAAAATAGTTTGCAAAATGACAGTTAAATTGCTGACGTTTTTCACTGAAACGAAACACGACGTTTCGTCTTAGCCAATCAGCAAGTTGCTAATTACCAGTCGTCACTCGTTCAAATTTTGCGCATGCGCACAAGTACCATGACCATTGAACGTCCATGACATTTGGGTGACTTTGGATTCCGCTATGTTCTCCCGGGTTCCGGGTATAATTCCTAATCTCCGGGCGGAATTAGTACCCTCGCACGGTGCTGCGCACCGGCTCGGGGATAATTGTAACGTTATAATTTATTATACCGTCTTACAATGTATACAAAAAGCTATTAATGCGCACATAACTAAAGGCCGGCGCACACTAGAGCTATGTGCTTAGCAAAAAGTCATTCGTGGCCATTGGCGTAAGCCAGTTGCTCTCGTGTGCGGGCGACTTTAATTTTCCGGCTACTTTGGTCATTCGTGCCACTTACGGCAAATATCAAGCATGTTTGATAATTTTTGCCTCGCGTGCCCAAATCGTTCTGTGTGCGGCAAACTGAAAGCTATCTGCTTATGGATTGTCTTAACAGCGCATGCGTAATATGCGAAAGTAAACATCCAAGATAGCGGCCGTATTGGAAGACAAACTGGTTGATCTTTTGCCAGAATACAGGTGTTTATACGTTGTGAATTTTAAAAAGATTTTAGATTACTACAGATTTTAGAAACAGAGAGAAACGGGAATGCGCTATTGCAGAAATAGCTTGTAAGCTCTCTCAAACAGGTAATGTAATTAATAGCACTTGGATAACGGTGTTTAGTCTATATGTCCGACACAACAGCAACAAAAATAACAACACCTCTTCGTCTTTTCTTTTATCCATAATTTTGTTTTTGCAATCTGTATGCCATCTTGGATGTTTACTTTCGTATATTACGAATGCGCTGTTAAGACAAATAAGCAGATAGCTTTCAGTTTGCCGCACACGAAAAGATTTCGGCACGCGAGGAAGAAATTATCAAACATGCTAGATATTTGCCGTAAGTGGCACGAAAGACCAAAGTCGCCGGAAAAGTCGCCCGCACACGAGAGCAACTGGCTTACGCCAATGGCCACGAATGACTTTTAGCTAAGCATATAGCTCTAGTGTGCGCCGGCTTTAACAGCCCCGACTCGCCTTCTACTATTTTAAACCACTTTTTTGGTGCCTTGTCAAGTCGATGACAGTTTTATAGAATACTCTATATTTATGATTGTTTTCTTTTTTTTTAAATGTAGACTCGCATTCCATTTCATATGCCCTCGGGTCGGATATTACAGTGTGTTTGAGAACAGTGGAATATAGAAATTGTAGTCATCCTGCGATGAAATTGAATTTTCATCAAACATACTCAAAGCACGATGTAGGCACTTTACTCTACAGCATTGGAATTAATCCTGATAAACTGGTTAAGAGAATTAATACTACTAAGTTTGGATTCAGGAATGTAACAAACAGGCGAAATACAACTCACATTTGCCTACATTTTATTGAGATGAACATGTTTGCGAATAGGCAGAAGTATACAATGGATGAAATTTGTGGATTTGGGTATTTACATGATGAGTTTAGACATTGGATAACCTTTTGGTTGGGTAAGTTACGACATGATTGCTTAAATGTAGTGACGCCGGATGGGAGGGTCTGCATGCACAGCATTGAGATATGCAATAATTCCTGGAGGAAGTGCTCTCTATCATCAAGTGAAGCCAACAACCCTGGCGGATTTTAGGCTTCACTGACACTACGTCGTTTTAACTTCTAAATGGCTATGGTTGCTACCACTGACATACCGCTACCCAAAGGCAAAAATATCCGTCTCCCTCCTGGTTTTTGATGAAAAATACGTTTAGATTTTTGTGGGATTTTCTAGTATAAGAAGTTAAATTGTGTCTTCCTTTCTCGGGTTTCCCTGTTTTACAAATTTGGCGAAGAGGTGGTTTTTTGCTCAAAATGCCATGTTGCTGTAGTGCCTGCCTGGTTACGCTAATGTTTTGCGCACATTGTGTGGTTCGCAGTAGGCGCGCAAGGAAATGCCTGAAACTGACGAACACGATTTGTAAAAGATATAAATAGAGCGTAATACTCTTTAGATTATTTTAGGCTAATCTTAGTTGTTTTTCCGCCTCGCCTTAAGTATAGCTAGAGCATAAAGTGGCTTGTAAAATTCAATAACAACATAGTCTCGCAAAACACACTCAAGAGAATACATACTTTGTACAACGGTATCGACGAATTTCTATGAAAAGAATAAAATAATATCATAAGACTTACTAGCGTCCTGAGCATTTCACATCAACCGCTCATCTCAACTCTAAATCTACTAAATACTCGCGCTAAATTGTAAGCGACTAATGGTTTTAAAGGTAATGAAAAGTCCGTTCTGCGCATATATTCTGCACAGCAACACATTCCATTAGTTTGGGAGCAACGTTTGTATTAAAAACGGACAGTTCGGGGGCACAATTACTTTATTTCATGTTGCAAGGCGAAGAGGCTCGAATCGTGAGTGACGAAGATAAGGCTGCTAGAAAAAAGCAATAAAATTATTATACTGAAAGGAATGCTTCAAGAATTTATTTGTTGAATGAGTACCCGAAATGGCGAGGCTATTTTTCGTCGCTACAGACGCTACGGCCTTCTCGCTTGTCCTACAATTACAAAGATATAAAGTTTTGCATACCGGTTTATTTACAAGCTTCACTTTATATCTTTTTCAAAATATAATATTTTCTACAAAATATAATATAAAATTAGCATATTCATCACAGCCGGTCGAGCGAGAACGAGAAGAAAATAAAAAAATTAAAACGACACATACGTTGTGTAAATATCATACAACAAACGTAAATAAACATTGTTATGCGCAGAATATATGCGCAGAACGGACTTTACATCATCTTTAAAAGATTTACGTTTATTCCATCTACACTTTATTATATAACACCTATATCATTAGCTCAAAGCCGGTAAATTTATTACAACCGATGTTATAAAAAGCAAACATGTTTGGCAAAAAAATATTTTCATTTTATCTTTAATTAGTTTTAAATACAAACGTTTCAATAGAATAACATGAATTATAATGTGAATTATTTTGGGGTATGTGGTATCTTTCTTTTTTTCTTATAGCGAAAGGGTGTTTTCAGCGGAACAATACGTACTATAGTCACTTTATACTGGTTTAATCTTCTTCCCTTTGCTAGGATTTTAGACATGGGCTGATACTAAAATACGATAAGATATGTAGAACAACCAGTGGATTGGCTGTTGAGGGCTTAATATTTTCTTTTCCAAGATTTAACATGGTTCAATGATTATAATTTCTGTACCCTCTACCCACTATTGAATAAATTAGACATTAATAAAGGGTGGACTAGGTATAAGATGCTTTTTGGAAAAAACTGAGTTGGCTAGCGCTTCCATGCTTTGTTCTGAAACATTAAATTAGAGCAAACTACAATGTATCATTCACATGAGCTGTATTTCCCTACTTAGTACTTATCTACTAAATCTTGCATGATTTTTGGCCATGAATTTTTTTAAGTTATGTACAAGTATGAAGTTTTGGAAACAGAAATTAATACTTTTTGCACATAAAAATGTCAAGAAATGTATTATAATTGATAAAGTTTAGAAATGTTTAATTTTTTTCCAAAAAATTTTCAAAATTTTTTTTGTCACACAAAATATAAGACATTGCTGACGTTTCTTCAAGAGGTATAATTTCATGCGTATTGTATTGAAAAAATTACCGATGAGGTATTCGACGTTTTTCTATCATTTTTAAAGTTATAATACTTATTTGCGCTGGTATTGGTAAAACAACGTATACGATTTGTATACATCTTGAAATAAGGGTTTTTCGTATTGTAATTAATATAATAAAATTATGTCGAACACAGGGCCGTCGCTAGATGCTTTATTTTTTTGAGGGGGAGTTCATAATTACATATTAATGTTTATACATGTAGCTACCATTTGTTTCTATACAAGGTGTATAAAAAAAATTCGAATCGAAATTTTGTGTTTGATTTGAATAGAGCTTGAAAAATTAGTTTTTAAGTTCTAAAACCCTTTTGATATAATTAAATAGTTTCGAAAATACGTCGGTTGGGGGGACTGGGACTCAGGAATGATTTGCAAACACGCCGTCTTTTATAATGTAAACATGAAGAGTTTCACTGGCGATATAGTTTGCGCTTTTCAAGAAAAAAATGCGGGAACGGTGCGTTGTGTATGGCTGTAGCAACTAGGCGAGTTTTTCTCAAAATATTTTACGTTATTGGAAGTTTTTCAGCTCAAAACTCAGAAAAAATAAAAAGCACTGGTCCAGTTTGTTTACAGTTCAATGATCTCGATAGCCGATGTTTTGATCGCCAATATCTTCGAAGATAAATAAATTTTGTAAAAAGACTTTTTGGATTAGTGGTAAAGAAATATGAATTCTACCTTATAAAAGCCTTCTTATTTGTAAAAATGGCATAAATGAGCGAGGTCCTAAGTGAGCAACAATTTACAAAATCACAAAAATTATACATCGTTTATTGGTGCTTGGCAAATTTTGATAATAATAGAACCCTTTCGATAATTACGTGGCAACATTAAATTTAAATTTTTACATCTTTGCTTGTGAGGGGGAAACTTTAAATCTATCTCATTTAAGACATTTTTAAATTAAAGACAATAGCGTGATAACATCATCCACACGTTTAATTTTTTAATTTAATTACTTTTTTAATTTAACTACTTTGTTTATTGAATTAGGAGGTTGCGATGGAACAACAAAAAGTGAAAGAATCACAGAAACAAATTCAAAATATACGCATGTTATGCCAGGTAATCAGGCAGTTGTCCAGTGGGCATGGTGTGTTGCAGTGAACAGCACCATTACAAACATATCCATTTACAAAGTGACCCGTTTTAAGTCTCGAACTACAAATCATATGGTATTGTCAATTGACGTATTAGAGAAAGTAAATTATGCCAGAGACAACTCAAAGCATGAACTGTTCAGCGTAAAGAAAAAGGCACGTTTTCAGGCAAGGGCAATTTTTGTTATTAACAACGTGAGCGAGGCGGATGATGGTGAATATAGTATAAGGATTCGAAGGATTGGATACCGTGATCTCCATAACGAAGTAAAAATATTTGTCAATCCTCGAGGTAAGAACATTTTTATCAGGAAAAGTCTGCCCTTCCGTTGATGCCAAAAACGTAGTGATTCGCTGAAGTATGATACGCATTACGCATGAATTATAATATTTAGTACAGCATAATATAATTATTAGGCCAACCAATGGCAATGAAGTCTTGAAAGAAAGTAATAAAAATTGGCAGTCCTGCAAGCAAACTAGGCGAGGTACGAACGAAACTTAATTAGCCTGCATGGCTTCAATTTAGGCATAACTACAATATCATATCCATTTTTTACAAGCTATATACCGCTTTGGTCGGTTGAAACTGATTCGTACCAATGCAGATCGCTAATTAGATTGGTTCACAGTATTTTCCATCGGGATCACATTCGGCGCTTAATTTACTTGTTTTTCAGAACCCGCTGCGCAAAAACCAGCAACCACAATTACGAATAACCCAGGTAATTGAAATGAGACTTAATTTTTCGGATCAATTTCTTATAATTTTAACAATATCCTGCATAAACATACTCTTCGCAATTTATTTAGGGTGCGGCTTATTTTCGCTCGTATAAATGGCCCTAAAGTGCATCAACCAGCGACGATAACAATTATTGAATATTCAAAATTATAATAATCTAGACATGTAACTCCAAGAGGCCCTGTTGGAAGCTTTTAAAATTAGAAGGAGCCCCATGTTTATATATTCGTCTTATGTCTAATTAATCTTCAAGAGGGCGCCGGAAGCGCCGACGTGGGTATTAATTCCGCTCGGAGTTTAGAAATTGCACCCAGGTATTGTGAGAGAACAGAGCCGAATCTAAAGTTGTCGAAGTTCTATGTCATCTTCGGTCGACATTTGACCGTTTTGTCAGTTATGTGCATGCGCGAAAATAAAAAAATTATAATCGTATCTAATTTACTTGTTTTTCAGAACCATCTGCGCACACGTTAGCAACGATAATTACGAATACCCCAGGTAATTGAGTTTGTCTCTGTTGCATGTATAGTGCAGAGAGGAGTTCTTGTTTATGCTCACTGGAATATTAATTTTAATGATTAGAATCTTTCGGTTTTTCGCGAAAATATGCGTGAACTTTCATAGATGGAATACCAAGTGAGTCTAATGAGCCAGAATAATTTTCTTCAGCTATATGGCCATTATTATAACTGAAGAAAATTATTCTGGCACATTAAACTCACTTGGTATTCCATCTTTCAAAGTTCATCATGACCATTTGTGTAACAAGCTATTTCAATTTGTTGTGTTGGATCCAAACAATAAAATTCATAATTTGTTGCCAGAGAGGAACAAATCTATTTATAATCTAAGACATGAAAGAACCTTCGATATTCCAATGAGCCACACAAATAGGGTATCAAGCTCTTTTATAAATGCTATGAGTATATAATAAGGTCAACAAAAGTTAACCTCTCTGTTCAAATTCAATTTTAAAATGAAATTATTTCATTATCTTACATTAATAATTTTAATGTTTCTTAGCAATAGTTATAGCTATAATTTTAATGATACAATTGCTTTAACTGTAAAAATTACGTAATTTAGCCTTTAGGCTGCGACCGTAAAGTACATGATGCATTTTTCTGATCATCATCCGTAAATTGCTGTTGAATTCCTCTACTTAAAAGCGAACTATACGTTCTTCTTCATGGTTCCTTATTATATAACGGAACAAATTGTTCCTAAAATTGAGTTAAAAGTAAGGAACGAATTTTTGATGTTCATACACAAAAGCGAACTTTATGTTCTCATTGTATTAACGTTCCTTAATGCATTCGGAACTTTTTGTTACTTTGGAAGTTCTTTTATGTAAAGGAACGAATGCGTGCATGCAGTTCCTAAAGAAAATCGATCAATAAGGTGCCGTTCATCACGTCCTCAATAATTAAAACAAACAACAGCTTATAATTATCATACTCGACCTGAAGGGACTGTATACATGAGCCTGCAAAATTACACGAGATTCAATGAAGCGTGAGATGATTTTGACTTTTTTAAGACATTGAAATGAGGTAACATGTTCCAAGCAGTCATAATTATAACCACCACAGCAATAGCATGTGCTTATTTGGTGTCATAAAGACTTATTTTAATCCCTCAAAGTCCTCTCACGCTTCGTTGAATCTCGGGTAACCGGGATCATGTATGAATAGTGAACACACCCAACCCTATTGCGTATGCGACCCCGTCGAGGCCTTTTCACTTAGGGATCGAAACAACTTAGCGGAGACACAATTACCCAAAATCAAACACAATTGAGAACAGAATTATACGGATATAATATAAGTTTACAAATACTGTACATAGCGCTTAATATTTAAAATAGTGTTGGAAAAACAAAAACAAACTGCTTGTTCGTTTCACAATTTGTTAATCTATTCCAAATCCTTGCCTGTTCAGTTATAAATACACACTATGACGTCATAGTTTAATAGTTTAACATGCTCTTTTGTTTGCTTAGCTTCATGAAAATGATCAAATTTATATTGTTTCTAGCTATTAAAGGAAGAAAAAGTGAAAGTTTCGCCACTTTACATTGGCTTGATCGTTGCAGGCGCAATCATCGTTTTTTTCGGACTCCTGATCTGCTACAAATGCAGGAGAGCACATTGTCCATTGCTAACACGGTGGTGGGAAAGATTCAGGATTTACATGGGCTGTTGTTTTTTTGTTATCTTGACCAAGTTTCCCTCCCTATAATTTATATAATAGACCACAGGTTCATCCTTCATTATTTTTCCGTCTAGTTCACGCGACTAGAAATAATATACCTTTATAAAGGTTATTATTTTTGTTAAACCAATGCCCGATTAGGAAGGAAATAAGTTTTCAAAAAAATAGATGTGTTAGTACGTATTTTAAATACATGCAAGGCATGACCCCACTACGAAGGAAAAAACGAAGGGTGTTTTTGTAATTGTAGTATAAAATATGTAGGTTTTTGAAATATATTTGTGTGTGCTGCTTTTTTTCAACCAAGCAACATTTAACAGGTAACCTGCTTGCCACGGTGGCTCGGGGCTACCTTTTTGCTCTTATCACAAATGACGTCATAGTGTATATCTATAACTGAACAGGCAAGGATTTGGAAAATATTAACAAATTGTGAAACGAACAAGCAGTTTGTTTTTGTTTTTCCAACACTATGAATAAGATTTCAGAAGTAAAGTCAAAGGATACAAATATATGCGTGAATGATTTGTAGGAAAAATAAAATGATATTGAACTGCTAGTATAAGACACGCGTTCTGAAAAGTAATGACATAAACAAGCGATGACTGATAAATTCGGTAAGTTTATTAATAGACCATGGATTTCAGCGGCAAGGCTTAGAAGTTCTTTTTTATACAAAACTGGTTAATAGTTTTCAATTACATTTCATTCCATTTTACGTTTTTCGCCTAATTTTGAGAAAATGAAGCTCAAAATAATGTTTTAAAATGATACTGACGTTAGCAGTATAATTTTTCAAAGAGTTATTGCCGCGACTCTTGTTAGATATCACGTTAACATGGTGGACACGAATAGGAGCATACCGACAAACACGGTATTTCATGTTATTTTCGGAATTAAGCAGGATAAAATTTATAGCAATATCTACATGTATTTCAAGTCTATACATCAAAATGGTTTACAACAAAAAAAACTATATTCGTTATTATGTTAGGCAATGGGAAATTAAACTGTTAGTAACCTGTGACTGGTAATTTATAATACTGCTACAATCCTGCAAACACATTTGTAAAAGTTCTTCATTTTTAGCGGGGTTGGGCCAAGTCTCCAAGTTTGCTTTTGGCGGTTGCCCGAACTGCAGAGAACAAAAATTGACCTTTGTAAACATGGCCGTTATTAGTTAATTAAACTTTGCAAAGAACCTATTTAAAACATTGCAAAAATCCTAAGACAAAGGATTACGTACGATTTATCAGGTTAGGAGAAATTCAGCGTCCGCCTACTTGGCGGAATGTGTTGTAATTCGGGCAATATTTGCCTGAATTCGGGCAATTGTGTATGCCGAAGTTATTAATAAATATCTCAATTTTCCCAAAATTATTCATCCGTCTCCTCCCAAAATTCTTATGCCCGCACGCAATAACTTGAAGCTCAAATCGTAATGTTGTTTGCTATTGACGTCAGTAGCAATATCAGGCATCAATTATTGATAGGCTTCATGTTCCACTATATACTGCGTCAAAAATAATCGGAATCGTTTTTACAAAATCGTTAATGCAGTTGTTAGGGAAAAAGAGTAGACTCTTCGATTTTGAATAAAAACTGATCTAAACCACAACATAAAATGTTACACAAATAGGCAGACGTATAGTAACCAGGAATTCGAAAAGCTATTCAGTGTAATAAAAACTGCAATCGACCAAAACAGGGGCACTGCGAACTCCAGATTTAATCTCATGTGAATGGTAGTTTTCTTAGAAACAACACTATTTTTTCCACTTAAGAGTTTGAAATAAGCACATTAATCATAAAAACTGAAAAGAGGGCATAAAAGTATTGGCAATAACTTTTTGGCACACCACAATGAGTTGTTTTGTTTAAAGTGAAAAAGGACATGCATTAACAAGTCTGTTTTCCTCTTTATACAGCCGTGCGAATGTGTTCAGACATCAAGCAGTGCTGATTGAAATTTTAATAAACACGCTCCCCTGCAGTAGTTTTTTAAAATGACAACTTAAAGCTTGTTGAAATATTCAGTATAATCTGGTCGCCAGACTGGTTAGCACTAACTTCCCAGCCAGGCTCCTACCTTGTCGTATCTAAGAAATTAAATCGCATACGAACGCAAATGCAAATAATTACACTTTACAATAAATTTTAAAAGAGCAATCGAGCATAATTTATTATTTATTATGTATAATTATCAGGCTTATCATGAATGTTAATTTTATGAACCTATTTCAAAGCCTGTTAATCTAGGTTGATAGGACTTTGCCTGTCAATATCTCAACACAACAGTCACCACATTGGTAAGTACGCATTTTTGTAGCACCGTTACGATGTACCGTTTGTAGCATCGATTTCAATTCTTTTAGGGCAACACAAACAGCAGAAAACAGTAGATGATAATGCTTTGCTGTTTTAAAATAAAAACGATAATAACGTTAAATGATTCGCGAAATATTAATTCAATGTTGAAATTTAACTTAGCCCTACTTATTTCGAATTTGAGTCGTAAAACGTCCAGCAATATGATATATGCATGTGTTTTACGTTTGTTGTTGAAATGAGACATTCTGCGAGGCGTCAATTTATCACTACACACTACATCCGGAATGGCGTATGACAAAATTCTTGTTTTAGAATAATTATGTAATTGATCGCTCCTACATGCATGCATGAATCAATCGTCTGCCTGGAACTGACTATATATATTTACAGGCAAAAAAAGTTTTCAAGCTAAAGCGGATATTCTCGTTTCTAAGACACATTTTATCGACGTGCAAGATTATATTACGGTCGCTAAATTGTTTTTCTTTTTTAAACAGCCCCTTACGTATTATCCCCTAGTGTTGCCGTTAATCGGTATGTAGTTCGCTAACTTCGCTTCGCCACTTGATTCTTGCACTTAATTATTGTAACAAACATATCCACAGCTACTCCAAACCTCATCTCGAATCACGTATATAACTAGGATGCAAATACTGAGCTGAACAGAAATCATAATTAATTATACAGGGAAAGTTGGACTGTTCTTTCATTTTCCAAAAATTCCTCGAATTTATGAACAAAGAGCAGCAAATGAATGCTGTCCAACGAAACGTCAAGTACCTATCGTGCATTAATTTCTTTAATGTTGGCGCATTCAAAGCTATTAATAGATGCCTGCATACATTCTAGTCTTCTAGAAGGTAGTTCTAGAAGTCGGTGATGTAAAAAACGCTTTCTTTACATATTAAATTGCTAGCTATATCTCTCAAAATATCTCATCGTATCGGAATATTTATTACCATTTCAGTTCCTTATATTTCTAAATGAATAAGAGATTGAGTTTATGTTCAAAGAAATAAAAAACATGGGATATTGAGCAATTTTTAAATCATGCATGGAGTCAATGTTATGAGCATATTCCCTTTATAACTTATTGGGTCTCAAAGGAAAAAGGGCCCGTTTTGCTCTGCTAAGATTGAAAATAGCTATTGGTATATGTTCGTCTGAAAGATACAAGCTTTAACTAAATGAATATGGTAAAAATATGGAGTTATGCCAATTGCCGCTTGCTATATTCGCGCAAACAACGCTTCTACGTGGAAAGATAACTAATACTATTTTTAACTATTCAAGCAGAATTCATTCATTCAAGTTGTCTGGTTGGATGAAATATCACTTCCAGAATAGAATGGGTCCGATCAGAAATATTTTTCAAAACTTGTTGCTGTTGCAATGCTTTGTTATGGTATTATCTCGTTATAATGCCGGTGAGTCACCTAGTGATGTCAAATATATAGCTAGCTTGTCTTTATGAAAATAGCCTGAATTGTTGACAGGCATCAAAAGGTTAAATTCATTTTTAAAAAATGGGTGGGCTTACCCAAAGATATAGCGGATTTAATTAGCATCCTACGTTTTTATCTGTTAAGCCCAATCCAGAATCATCCATGTTGGAACACACGAAAAAAAAGGGCAGTTTTCCGCATATACATATATTACATGTTGCACTTCACTCTAATTCATGGAGATATTACGTTCGAAGTCGGTACGTCATTTCAGGATGTCTCTAAAATATGTGTACATATTCGATATAGCTATACTGAGGTATAGAGCTAATACGAGGAAAATATATAAAAACACGATGAACTTGGTTTTTATCTATAAACCAACTTTTTCGTGTTTTATCTTTGCCCTGATATGCATGGTGTTTGTAATTATGTTACTTTTGAATTAGAACATTGTGATGGGACGGTAGGGAGTGAAAAGATCAGAAAAGCAAAGTCCAGATATATCAACATTATTTCTGGAGTCAAGCAGTTGTCAACTGGACATGGTGCGTCGCAGCAAAACAGCCAAGATTACCGGTATTGTCGTTTACAGAATAACTAATTATGCTAACTCAAAAACTACGAATCAGGTTTTATTGTCAATGGATAAATCAAAGAACGTTTATCGCTACGTCAAAGACAATTTACGTTACGAATTCCTCAGTTTTGAAAATATAACAGTCTTTCAAGAAAAAGCGGTTTTTATCATCAACAACGTGACCAGAGCGGATAGTGGTGAATACAGTTTACATGTTCGACGACTGGGATACCGCGATCTCCACAATGAAATCACTATTGTTGTCAGTAATAGCGGTGGGTTAATTTAATTTCACTTCCTCCGTTAGTTTTGTTGTAATGGGCACTACATTATGTGCATCAAAAAATATGTAAATAAACCAGAAAAAACTGCCGAACATGCTCCTGCCTTCTTGAATGTCATGTACGCAGGCACGTGACCGTATTGTAAACTAGTAATTGCTTAGTTCGTAATTGGTCAGTGAAGCGTGTATTAATTTATAAAGCTTCAATTCAAACGATACAAGAAGTGGTTCTCTTCTGTACCTAGTTTATACTACTACAAAAATATGATTCCCAAACCACTTCCTTACGCGGTATGGGGGAGAATTTGTATCACGCACATTTCATTTGCGACAGTAACTTAAATCTTAAATTCTGTTTCCATTGCAGCAGCACGTATTAAATAAACACTTTTCCGTTCTTTCTACATTTTTCAAAATTTTTCTCGGTATTTTTGTTAAATTCGTCGATCGAAGAGTAATGTTTTAACCGGTACTCGTATCTGTCGACTGCAAAAAATGTTATATAATGCTATAAATCGCGATCAGGCATATTTCTATTATTGCAGCTTCTATGGGATAATTGGGCGAGTGGTGTTAAAATAAGTTGCAAAAATACCAAAATCGTGCGGCAAGGGTAATTACTGGGGCAACTTACTTAAATTAAGGGTAATTACCCGAGAACCTAAATTGGGAATCTTTTGATGAAAGAAGAAACAATCTTAAACAATCAGTCCATCTTTATTTATAAAATTCTGGTTTATTTATAAAAATGGTCACACCGCTCCCAATCTAAACAAAACATTTCGATTTAACAATGAAAGAACAATACATATACAATCTCATAAATAGGAATATGGATTTAGAGAATGAGTTTAAACGGGCTTGCTATCGATTCACTGACCAATTAAATATTTGTATGTTTATGTATATTTCTCTTTATGTATATTTCCCTTGTAAATTTACACTTCCCTCATGGAAATTAGCCCCCACCGGGTTGTTGAGGCTAGCGTAACTAAATAAATTGTTATTACAATATGTATGTTTTCAGTATTATGCGAACTTTCCCCCAACTCAACTCTTTGTTCAAGGATGTTAGGATAACCTTTTATGCTATATTTTCCCGTTTATACCATTTCAATTCAGAATAATTCATCTTTTTCAATCTTTTTTTAATTTATACAGCTCCTATGGAGAGACTTCTTACTCCACCGAATAGTCTGGGGACGAAAGCCACGAAAGTTATGTTTTTCAATGATATTCAGCCTACTCAAAACAAGTCTAAAAGCGTTGGCTTTGGTGAGATTCGTAAAGTTATAGCGGTTCTCTTTTGTCTAATCTTTCTTCTACCATTATTTTTTGCTATGGCATTATAAAAAGTGGGTGTGTAGAATTGAAGCACTGGGAGAATCATTCGCATGTTTTCCATCAAGCAAGAAAAAATTCAAAAGTACTCCAAAATCTTCTCATGAGCCACATGGTCATCTAGTTTGACCATATCATGTCAGATGTTAATCTGTCATAGATGGTACTGTCATACACTGTATGTGTGCGAAAAATATAAAACCTTGTAGCATATTAACCTTTTGAATCAAAGGCGACCCTATTTCTATATAACAGGCATTGGATGTTAAAAACTAAATATATCTTGTAAAAAAATTGCAAGAATGGGTTTAACAGCAACCAGCTGATCTAAAATACTCTAAAAACCAGATCCTTAACAAAACTTGGCTATAATTTCCTTCATTTGATATGGCTTCGGCAAGTAATTGAATTTATTATTAAGTGGACATACGTTTGTTTTTCACTCAGTTGTAAATTGGAATTCAATAAGATTCTTCCCTCTATATCATTATCTCATTTATACGCGGAAGAACGGGGACAACTGACACTAGGCGCATGATAATAATGACGTAATGATCTCAGATCAACTGCAAGGCCTTACAGTAACGTATTACTTTAGCCATGCAACATTTGTGGTTATGTTTATAATTTGATGTAATGAAAATATCGACTGTTCAAAATCATTTTTCATGTAAATTATTGTAATGTTTGTTGTGGTTTCTTTTTTTGTTGTTTTATCAACTTCCCACATAAATGTTGTCATATTAGGCTATTTGCCTTGAACAGAGAAGAGTGAAGCGCTGTTTTTTCTGTACTTCACATAACTGTAAATTTTGGTCCCCGATATCACATCATGATGCATAAACTTAAATGAAAGTGAGTCATTTAAAAGTACTCTATCACGATACCACCAATCAGTTTTCGGGTAAACATTGTTAATAATATACTTGCATGTGTTCGTTTTTTGAGCATACATTCTCACGGTTTACAAAGAATCTGTTTTCCAGG